CCTGAATATTTTTAAATGCTTAATGCTTAAACACTGTGGTGGGGTGAAGGGTGGGGGGGATGCAGTGGGTGGGGGATTGTTAGAATGATTCTTAGAATAAGTTTTAGAATGATGAACTATTTAGTTTTTTTTTATTGACTCAAAATCCTCAGATTAACCGTCTTCAAACTAGAATAAAAAGTATACCCATAACAAATTAGTATTAATTGCACTTAAAAAATACATCATTAAAGCTTGCTGACAAACCTTTTCTAGGACCAAAAAGCTAATGTTGCACATCATAACAAATTTACAGGATAAACCATTCTACTAGCCTCATTGTTTTCTGCCTCCACGCCTATTTTGTTATGCAAAAGCTTTATGTCAATTTACTTTTTGAGCTGTTTAAGACCAAACCAAATTATTCCTTCAGCACATTTTAAACAATCCCTTAAAGACCCTCTTTTTCTTGGCTTTGTTTCCAATCTTGGCTTATCACTGTAATATTTCATGCTCCATGCTTCTGAAAAAATTCAATATTCAAGAACAAAGTAATCCAGCGCTTTACTTCATTTCAGTCTTTTTATGTCCCAGGGCTGTCCCAACTCAATGACACAGTTTGTATTGTCACGTCTGTTGCTGACTGCAACCAGCTCGCCTAAGCCCTTTCCTGCCCCTTATCAGTTTTCCCTTAATTCAAAACTTTTTTTTTTTAATTCTTTGCACTTCTCCTTTCACAGCTTTTAGTTGGTTTTTTTTTCCCCTCCATAGGAGAGACTGTTCCTGTGGTAGCTACTCAGAAACACAAAGATGAATAGGTGACTAAGGTCTCTAAGTCTGTCCCTATCAAAATTTTTGTTGTAGTATCTTTAAGAATTACAGAGTGGATAATATAATTCAGCAGTATGCATCAAGAATCCTCAAAAATGTTCATACCCTATGATCTAGCAGTTTCACTTCTGAGACTCTAGCTTACTAATTAAAAAACAGAATCATCTAAGATATGGAAAAAGATGTATACATGAGATGTTCATTACAACATTATATATTGTTGGGGAGTTCTCTTGGATGGCCTAATAATTAAATTGATGAAGAGTAACTGAAAAACCCAATTTAATTCATATAAACAGAGATCTCATAGAAATGGTATCTCCGAAGTGACCAAAGCAGGCTGTTTACAAATCATTTTTAGACAAAGAAACAATTATTTGTGAAGATTTAGCAAAGGGGCTTGTGCTTGGGGTAGCAGGCTAATGAGAGGTAACAAAGTTTGTCTACAGAGTTTTCTCAGCCTTGAATTTCCTAACTCTGGTGATAAGGATGCTTTCTATCCTCTTGGTATAAGGAGAATACTTTCACATGGGAGATTATTTCCTTCTTTTAAGGGGAAAGAGGGGGTCAGAGTGTTTTTCTATATCAGTTTTTCTCCACTGGCTGTTTCTCAAGTAACTTAAATTGAAAATAATATGTTATTGTAGCATACCTTCAATCAGCCTGCTCTGAGGCTCAACAATATAAATGCTAAAGAAGAAAATAACACAAATATCCAACAATAAGAGAGAAGTTAAATAAATTACTTTCCATCTACTTGATGGAATATTGTGCAGTCATTTAAGATGATGGTTGTGTGGCTATGTAAAAAGATGGGTAAAATTTTATGATGTTTTCAGAAAAGCAAGGTGCAAAATTTCAAGTGCTGGTGGTCAGAACTATGTTTTAAAAAGCATTTACAACAGGAAAACTGCAAGGAAAGAGGACATTTTGCTTATACTTGCTACTTTAGGGTATGGAATTATAGATTATTTTTCTCTTTACTCTCAAAATCTTGATTCAGTTTCTTTTAAAATTTAAGTTTTTGAAAAGTATAATCTTCACAGGCACAAGTTAAGAACTATTTAGGTATGTCTTATAAAATAAAATTTATAAAAGACTATTTCAGACAGAGGATTCTTTAAGTCTAGTAATAATCTAACAATGGCCAGGGGAGGTGGGGTGAATAAGACAGTGAGTAAGTCATTTTGTTTACCAGTGTGTAATTCTCAGAAAGAAAAATTAGGAAAAAAATTGTAATACCTATTTTAAAATATAGTTTAAAAAAATCTTAATAGGTTCTACTCAAGTTAATTTTACCACTGACTTTATCCAGGACAGTTCTCTCCAAAGTTGTTTATCAAGTTCTAACTTTAGCCCAACATTTGCAGTACATTTTCCAGTTTTCAGAGAAATTTTTCTGAAACCTAAATATGTGTGATATTCTACCATTTAAACTATTTAGAGTATTAGTCTTTAGCTTACTAGTGCCTTGTAAGGTTCTCTCTTATTCTGTGGCCTTTGTTTTCATGCACCCTTCCCACCAGTTTTATCAAACTACATGTAATACCTGAAACAGTACTCAGAATCACTATTACTTCTGTCTCTTAATGCTGAAACTAACATTTAATATCTGCTCAGTCTTCAAATCTCAAAGTGTTAATTTTATTTGGGAAGGCTTCCCAGATTCTCTTTAATCCTACAGTGCTCTCTCTGACCTGCTCACCTGCTTTTTGAACCAGACAGTAAACATCCTGTTATTGTGTACATGGGCAAGTGCGAGTGTGTACCTGCGAGTAGTGTATACTTTATAGCTACCCCCGCCCCCCCTCCCTGTCCTGACAGTGAGAGGAGTAGTGAATGCTAAATGATGTTGGTGAAAGGCCAGGGTGCTAACCCCAGACACTAAGTGCTGGGAACAAAGAGCGGAGGTGCACTGCCTGCCAAAGGCTGTCTACTCTCAGGTACTTATTAGGCAGAAACTCAGTCCATGCACCTCCCTGATGAAGTGAGACTTTACCTGCAACACTGTGCCCCTGAGAACAGGGAGCTCAGTCATTGGTTTGTGAACTCTCCACTATTCCTTGTATGTAGCAGGCATTCAAACGTATGTTGATTAAAATCCAATTTTTAAAAATCATTCCAAAGTACAAAAATTTACATCTACCTTGTCTGTAGTTAGAAAAAAACACCTGAAAGAAAAAAATATGTGAAAGACAAAGTATTTGTGAAGCTCAATATCTCCTAGCTAAAAAACTTCACAACAGTGTTGTGAACCCTGGAGAGGAAATGCAATAGGAATTAAGGAGGAACAAATTTATTAAATAAAAATAAAGATTGCCTAAACTCCAAATGTATTGACATGGAAATGTCTTTCCTATCTCAATTTTCCTATGCTTACATAGAGCACCATGTATACACCAATAAAAAATATTGGTTCAGACTAACACAAAATCATGGTTTTATTGTTTCATGAAAAACCAATGACTTGGTCATGTTCTCAATTGATTTTCTTAGTTTCTTTTTTTTTACCCTCATTATATCTACATTTTAAGCAATAGTTATTACAACAAAAACTTAAAAAAAATTTAATAAATATATTTTCCCCCCATTTAGTCATTAAATTTTTTTTATTATTATTCTTTACACTTTTAGTGATTTACCTTAAAGTTTAAATGTATCAAAGAGGCTCTGCTATTTAAAATAAAACTCTGGAAACTACTGTTAAAAGTCTTTCTTGATCATCACCTTAATTTATCTGTTATGTAGATTTAGTGTTCTTATAAACTCACCTATCTGGAAACAAATGTAAACAAATACGTTTTAATAAACTATCCAAACAGAATTCGATTTTGAATTTCAAAGTACTGGAATATACCTAGTGACAGCTTTGGTACAGGGCAAAGGTTAATTAGTCAGTGCATGGGTGAAGAAAACTGTGACTGAACATTATATATGATAATAGAAAGCATAAATAATAAAAAGAGCATAAACAGACTTGGTAAGGTGTGATTAAGAGTGGGAAGTGAAAACATTTTCAAAATTAAGCAATATAAAAATGAATAAGGCATAACATGGAAATCCTAAGATAAGCATGAATCACAAAACAGGAAGGACAGAAAAAATGATTTTTAATGTAGCTACAACTCTCTCTTAGTAAATACAATACTTACAGAGGCACATTTTCCTATAGGAAAGAAAATATTGTATCCCTTAAGACAACCCAATTGTCACTTAAAAATAATGGTTCAGATATACCCAAGCAAGCTTTGTTCTTAACAGAATTTCCTTAACTAGGTTTCTCCTATTAGCAAGGGAATATGCTCATTTATGATTATGAGTACCTTGGGCCATCCAAACTCTATATGTTAATAGGCACCCTGATTCTCAGGTCAATCTTCATGTGAATTTACTGGATATGAGCAGTTCTTCAGTGAATAATGACTTAATAAGATCATAAGGGTTAATGTACCCAGGAGAGTGGCAAATGGCTCTCAAATACATGTACTTTTCTCTTGCAACTTTATAATAAAAATAAACCCACAGCCCAAAAGAACTATGAAAGACAGAATGATTTCTAAAGATACTTTAACATAAAGATTTTATAACTTATTGTGAAGACATTTTGCACACCACCACCATAAATACTGAACATGGTTGTATGAAAATAACAATTTTAGGATAAAAACATTTCCTAAATATCATCGCAATCCACCTGCTTTCTTCTTAACCTCAGTATAATAGCTAAGACCGTAGCAGACATGAAAATTTGGTGTCTCAGTTTACAAATGTAGTCTAATACATCACAGTACTGACCAGCATCTCCACATACTTCATGCGTACTGCCAAAACATGGATAGGCTAACAATATTAAAAGAAATATACACATTTCTAGTTACAGGTACTAACTGGAGATATTACAGTAAAGATGTAATGCCACCAATACAGATCTCTACACACCTGAAAAAGTTGACAACAACAAAAAATTAAGATATTTGACATCAGGTAGATAACATGGAGGCTTTAGGGTTGATTTACTGCTTTCATGCAATGTACAGACAGTCTTATCATTGTGTCCAACCTTGGAATTTCAGAGCCAGAGAGTATACAGTTCAAAACACTTGCTTTATCCTTTTTTGTGTGTTAGCCCTCTGGTGTTTTCCTGCAGTCTTCTAGAATGATCTTCCAGATGCTTATTCAACAGCACTGGGTCAAATCTCTTCTATACAGGACCTCACTCTTCGCATGTCTCCTCGGCTTGCAGACAGCCGGTCAAATTCTTGGAGGTGGAAACGAGTTGCCAGCTGATTTACCATTTTCCTCAAGGTAAGAAATGCTGAAACAACTTGGAAAGTAAGGAATATAGTGAAGATGATATGTACTGCTTTCTCCAAGGGCAGATTTGTTAGGCCCTCATTGAAGAGCAAGAAAAGAATTAAAGGCAACTGCAACAGAAGGCTCAAAAGCCAGAAGCCAGCCAACTCAGGAACCTGCAATGATACACACCACAAATATCAGACCAGCGAAGTACCATCTTCTGCTTGTATCGATAAGCAAGTGATACTACTGTGAACCTACATTTTGAGCTCTGTAATTCAGAAGAAGTATAGTGTGGTCCTTGTCCTCAGAACTTACCATCTAGACTGGAAGAGAAAACGAACTTATGTGACAGTCCTACACTCCTACACTTGAGTGAATAATGAAACGTACGTACCACTTAGAGTAACAGACTAAATGCTCTAACAGAGTAAACAGGGTAGCTAGAAGAAATAATTCAAGGAGATAGGCTTTTCAAGTTAAGATAAAATGAGGAAGAGGCAAGAACTTAAGTAAGCAACAATGTGGAAAGATATGACTGGGAAACAACACATCAGCCTGGAATGGACGTTTGTGTTAGGAAAAAGCACAAAATACAGTGGGGTAGGCTGGGTGGGGCTTAATTATGAAGGGCCTGGAAGAACACTGAAATCTTTAGGCATTATCACTCAGTTCTGGTAACTCTAAGTGCTCAGGCAGCATGATGACTCAGAAAACATGTGCCTCGCATAGGAGATGAGTGTGCCATTTTCCCCAGTTTTCTTATTCAGAATCCAAATCATCATGTTTAATGACCAAGTATTTTCAAGACTACTGGGAAGAGGGAAAATGATCACTAATTAAGAGTTTACTATGTTCAGGTGCTATATATAAATTATTTAATATAATCCTAACAAATCTGTGAAGTGAATAGTCCCCCAATTTTATATGTGAAGGAACCAAGGTTCAAGAGAGTAAGCAAACAGACCACAGTGACAGCCGTGGTGAAGCTGGAGCTAGGCCTTACCTACAGGCCTTTGCTCCTTCCACATCTCACTGCCTTTTCTTGTTGGCAAAGTCTTAACTGCATTTATGTGTAGCACTGAGAGAAAGGAAAGAAGAGCCTACCTTCTCCTGAAGGTTCCCCATGTAGCCCAGATACAACCTGATAGCTTCAATTAAAGTTATCAGGATGATAATGGTGACCACAATGAACTTGTAGTAATCAGGCAAGATGGAATACTGAAAAAACAAAAATAAACAAAAAGTCTCCCATATAGTAAGACTGACCTGAGATTTAAAAAACATATGAAGAACTTTTAATTTTACTGACAAGGTAACAATGCCAGGGAGAAGTAGTAAAGCACACATTTACCTTCATCTGAAGCATCATAATGCTGCTCACCCACCAAAGTGGGAAAAAGTAAGTGTTAAAATAAAGTGACATCTGCAGTGCCAAACTGGAAACCATTTCATTATCTACAGAAGAAAACAGAAGAGGAACAAACTCTTACTCCTGCTCTATGCCCTGTACATCCTTTAGTTTCTTAGAATTACTAGCTATAGTTTCAGCTCAACAAAACTCCAAATTGTAAGCCTATTTATAATCATTGACCCCTGGAGAAGGAAATGGCAACCCACTCCAGTGTTCTTGCCTGGGAAGTCCCATGGACAGAGAGGCCTGGTGGACTATGGCCCATGGTGTCACAAAAGAGTCGGACACAATAACAATAATCATTGACAGTGAAAGAAAATAGCCATAATACTACTAATATTTCGTTCCTATGTTTGCTACTTGGGGGCATGTTTCATATTTTTCTATTTTTACTTTACATATTTTCATATTTTTACTTTATCACCTTCGGTTACTGTCTAATGACTTTTTTTGCATACTACTGATATAAATGTAGAACGTCAATATGAATACTATTGAACAGATGACTATAATAATCATTACCCACTTTGTTAAGAGTTCTATGTAAGTGGTGCTTGTGCTCAGTTGTGTCCGACTCTTTCCGACCCCATGGGCTGTAGCCCACCAGGCTCTGTCCATGGGATTTCCCAGACAGGAATACTGGAGTGGGTTGCCATTTCCTTCTCCAGGGGATCATCCCAATCCAGGGATCGAACCTGAGTTTCCTGTATTGGCAGGTGGATTCTTTTACCACTGAGCCACCTGTAAAGAGCCTATGAAATGAACACATGAAATACATAACATGACTGCATCCATGAAATTAAAAGATGCTTGCTCCTTGGAAAAAAAGCTATGACCAACCTAGACAGCGTATTAAAAAGCAGAAATGTAATTTTGCCAACAAAGGTCCGTCTAGTCAAAGCTATGGTTGTTCCAGTAGTCATGTATGGATGTGAAAGTTGGACCGTAAAGAAAGCTGAGTGCCGAAGAACTGATGCCTTTGAACTGTGGTGTTGGAGAAGACCTGTGAGAGCTCCTTGGACAGCAAGGAGATCAAACCAGTCCACCCTAAAGGAAATCAGTCCTGAATATTCATTGGAAGGACTGATGCTGAAGCTGAAGTGCCAATACTTTGGCCACCTGATGCAAAGAACTGACTCACTGGAAAAGACCCTGATGCTGGGAAAGATTGAAGGTAGGAGAAGGGGATGACAGAGGATGAGATGGTTGGATGGCATCACCAACTGGATGAACCTAATTTGAGCAAGCTCTGGAATTTGGTGATAGATAGGGAAGCCTGGCATGCTGCAGTCCATGGGGTCGCAAAGAGTCAGACACAACTGAGCAACTGAACTGAACTGAATCTCTCAGGTATAAACTAATCATGCAAAACCAACCCCTCCCCCAAATTATAATTAGACACACATCTCTTTCAGCATACCCTAATACCACCTGTTCATTCACACCCAATTCAAAGCCACTTTTTCCATAAGTCCTTTCTTGATCACATTCCCCACTCCAGTGGAAATCTCCTTCCCCTCTAGGTACTTATCATGCTAACCTGTGTGTAAGAAGTGTTAGCAAAGAATCATACTCCCTTCACTTGAGAGACAGTCTGATCATGACTTTCGGAGTCCAAGTAAACCCAAAGCTTCCCAAACTCCCTCAGAACTCTGGATACCAGACTTAGGATAAATTATTTAACCTCTTTGAGCCTTAATTTCTTCATCTGTAAAATGGTAACATTAAAATTACCTCACAGATTGCTTAAGAATTAAAGGTAATATAAATTACTTCACCCGAGCACTATGCCTGGCACTGAGTAGGCACTCGATAAATATCAGTCCCTTTCCTTCTCTTTTATTTATATACAGGCTGACTGTAAGCACAGGCCACATTCTACCCAAATTTAAGACCCTCGCAGAACCTAGCATGTTGCTTTACAAATGGTAAATACCAAATATGAATAAGCAGAGTGAATTAATGAAAACATATTCTTATAAGGACATTGCCAGTGTAGCCCTTTGTGACACAGGAATTTCATTTATCTTAGGCTGAACTGCCTCCTGAGAAATCTGTATGCAGGTCAAGAAGCAACAGTTAGAACTGGACATGAAACAACAGACAGGCTCCAAATCGGGAAAGGAGTACGTCAAGGCTGTGTATTGTCACTCTGCTTATTTAACTTCTATGCAGAGTACATCATGCAAAATGCTGGGCTGGATGAAGCACAAGCTGGAATCAAGATTGCACCTACTTAATAGACGTGAGTTTGAGGAGGCTCTGGGAGTTGGTGATGAACAAGGAATCTTGCCATACTGCAGTCCATGTGGTCGCAAAGAGTTGAACACGACTGAGCAACTGAACTGAACTGAACAGAAGGCTGATTACATAGTACCTTTCGTTTTCATGTAACAGAGAAAGGTTGTAAATTAAGAATTTGATTTTTAAAACTGACCCCTACAAATGTATCCTAAATATGACTAAATTCTAACAATTTAAGAGTAGATAAGTATTTTGAAATCCACTGCTTGAAATGAAAGAATTTACAAAGGCTCTGAGACAAATTTCTTATAAACAGATTATTTCTTTTTCTCCACAGCTGAGTATATCTATCATTTAACAATTTTAAAATATAAAATTATTATGGTCTCTCACAGCAACGATTTTCCTTTAGTTCCAAGAATATCCCTGATTATTATGATATACTTTTGCTTGTACCTATTTATTAAATTATCACTGATAAAGGAATGCATTCTTAAAATCTGAAGGTAACTCACTCCCCTAGGATTTTTTTCATGGCAACAGTAAAACTCTAGGTCAGCTGTGAACATGGTCATAATATACCCTTGTAATTACAGTACAAATAATCAAATGTACTTTAGATCCACAAAGAAGAAAAAGTGGAAAAATAACAAATTAGTCAAACTGAAAATTTTAATACCTTCAAAGCAAGCACCGTAGTAAAATTTTGCAAATAAGCTTCTATGTTAAGAATTCTGTACACGAGCATCTAAAGAGATATGCTATGTCTATATTTCAGCAGATCAAACTTAAATCATTCAGCTGAAAATCAAGTTAATATGTAAATGAACCTTGAAAGCTCAAGACATGAAGTTATTAAATTTTGCAAAAGTACAAGCTGAGTTCTGTAAATGGAATTCAAATTAAAACACTATGTAATATAAATCAGGAGTAGGCAAACTACCAGCCAACTAACTGTTTTTGTAGAGCAAGTGAGCTAAAAATGGCTTTTTCAGATTTTTAAATGGTTGGGGGAAGTGTCAGTAGTATTTTGTTACACCGAAAATCATGCAATTTCAACTTTAGTGTCCATAAATAAAGTTTTATTGGAATACTGCCATGTCTATTCTGTTATCATTATCTATAACTGCCACAGAGACCTATGGCCCGCACGGTATTAAGTATTTACTATCCGGCCCTTTACAGAAAACCCCTGATACTTTACATCATCAGATTTTAGTGACTGTTAAGCTTTAGAATCAGAAGCCAATGCCCTGGCTTTAGAATCAGAAACGTAATAACCTAATTTTTCACATTGTGTTTTTCTCTGTACATCCTAAATTGTGACCAGCCCTAAACTGGGAGGGAGAGTCAAGTGGTTAGGGTGAAAAATTGAAACGGTGGCAAATGACTTTTCTCTATTCCCTTTGAAAAATCCCTGAACCAAGCAAGAGGAAAAGATTTCTATTTCCTAGCACAGTTCAGTGATAAAAGCTGCGTGGGTGTGGTTGACAGTATGTTGTCTATCATCATGATTTTAAGAGGGTTAAACTGTTTTGCAGAAAACTGCGTTGTCACTTGTCACATCAAATGCGGCATCGTGGTATTTTGTTACTTGATTTGGGTCAAGAGTTATATATATACAGGGGAGGGGAAGGAGAAAGTGGGGAGACGGCGAGTTTTGTTAAAGGCGATGCTAGCGTGGCAGCTGCCATTCCGGATTGGAGAACGTTTAAAATAACTCATTAAAAAAAAAACCTTCTATGTCTTCTGCCAGAAAATGGACTTGTGGCAAGTACCTGTTCTACTAGGAAAGAAGAAAAGGAAAAGATATTTTACCGGGACGCGGGGGGAAGGGGGGAGGGGGGAGGAGTGGAAGGGGAGATTGCGTGGGCTCTTTTCACTCCATTCAGGGCAGAAAAGCCAGGGCGGAGGCCGTAGATGAAAGGCAAGGAAGTAAGCCTTCTCAGCCTTCTCGGAGGCAAGGCACTGGACGCGGGTTGCGAAGGTGGCTTTATATTATTTATTTTTTGAGGAATGCCAGCGCCACCTCAGCCACCCCTCTTGCAACTGGCCGGTTAGGTCGCAGCATGATCAGCCCGGGACCAGCTCGGTATCACAGTCCGTGTATCAGATCCCGGTCCCAGCCAGCGGCCCGGCCCCTCCTCCAGGGCGTTTCCCGCACTGCGGAGAACCAGCTGAAGGCCAAACCGCCATCTTAGGTCCGGGCAAAATCTGGCCATTCCAAACCCCGCGCCAGGTCCTCCGCAGGCCACACGCCCTGCGCTGGGCCTCGGCCACTCACCCGGACCCTCGTTATACTCCGGCCCGGTCCGGTTGGAGTCGCTGAACACGGTCCGGCTGAAGTTTCCCAGCCGCTGGCGGACCGGATCCGGCAGCTCCATGCCGGGGCCTCGGTACCGCTCACTGCTAGGTCTCCGGGCGCCGCAGTGCTCAGCTGTTCCCACGGCAACCGAGCGGTGGGCGGTGCTGGGGGTTCCGGCGCAGGCACGGATGCACTGCGGGGCTGAGGCGCAGGGACCCCTCGAACTGAAAGGAATGAGGGGGACACATTCCTGTGGAGCGCGTCAGATGGGTGCGTCAGATGGGGACAAATTCTTTAGTCTTGTTTTAAGTTCCACCCTTTTAACAACGAGTAATAATAAGCAACCTGGGGTTGGATCTTGATATAGGAGCTCTAACACCTTGTCAATGCAACCTTTTTGGAAAGAAATACAGAATGAATGCAGAGCTTAGAGAATATTCATGACACAGTAGCTTATATGTATGTGTATATACACGTACTCTTTTCTAGGAATATATGTTGTTATGTAGTAGGGATATTTTATATATACACATGCCATGTATATACGCACTTATATATTCAAACATACTGTCTTCTAGGAATATATATTAGGAATATTTTATATATACACACCATGAAAATGAAAGTCGCTCAGTCGTGTCTGACTCTTTGTGACCCCATGGACTATACAGTCCATGGAATTCTCTAGGCTAGAATACTGGAGTGGGTAGCCTTTCCCTTCTCCAGGGGATCTTCCCAACCCAGGGATCGAACCCAGGTCTCCCTCATTGCAGAGATTCTTTATCAGCTGAGCCACCAGAGAAGCCCTTACACACCATATATATATATTTATATTTGATGCACTGCATTGCAACAGTCTGAAAACATGCTTGCAACGAATGTTTGATTATCCGGATTAACTTTCCATAAAAATTAAAAAATTAGATGTAGAACTAAGTGGAGTGAATCTAATTTAATAAAATTGTGTGTGTGTGTGTGTGTGTGTAAATATGTGGGGAGTAAAGAGGGGAAGGAGATCCACAAGCACTGTGGCTTCAGAAAAAGACCAGAAGGAAATAATCAAAATGTTAATAGTAATTTCTAGGTAGTAGATTGTGGGTGATTTGAAAATTTTAAAACATTTATGTATTTTTCAGCTTTCTTTCAATAAGATGTATTTTTTTTAAGAAAAACTATCTAGGTATAATACATATACATAAAAGGGCATAAGCTGAATATAGGTAACCAGAACCCAGATTAAGAAACAGAACTTTACCCGCACCCAAGGAGCTCCCCCTGCCTATTCCATCATAGTTACTAACCCTCCACTACTTACAGACCTTTCCTGACTTCTTGAGCATAGAAGATTTTTGCCTATTTTTATTCTTTACATAAAACTAATCATACAATAAGTGCTTTTTAAAAGACTAACTCTTTGCCTTCAAAATTATTCTTATGAAATTCCTTCATATTGTGAAGTGTAGATTCTTTTTCATTGTGATATGACCATACCACAATAAGTTTACCCCTTCTACAGCTGATGAGCATCTGTGTGTTTTCTAGATTGGAGACATTATGAATAGGACTGTTTTTGGTGAAAATATGCCTTTTGATGAACATGTGGATGCATTTGTGTTGAACTTATTCCTAAGAATGAAATTGTTGGCTTAAGAGATACCACCCAGCTTTATTTGTCTCTCTCTCTTAAATGTGGAATCCTTTATTAATTCTTTTCCCATTTAAGATGTTACATAGTATTTAGCAGAGTTCCCTGTGCCATACGGTAGGTCCTTGTTGGTTATCTATTTTAAATATAGCAATGTGTACATGTCATGCCCTCCAATAGGAGAACTTCCCAGTATTCTTGCCTTGAGAATCCCATGGACAGAGGAGCCTAGTGGGCTCTAGTCCATAGGGTTGCACAGAGCTGGACAGGACTGAAGCAACTTGGCATGCAGGCAGGCACGTGTGCATGCACATATGTGTCAATCTCAAACTCCCTAAATATCCCTTCCCTTCTCCCCTGGTAACGGGAAGTTCATACTCTAAGTCTGTAAGTCTGTTTCTGCTTTGTAAATAAGTTCATTTGTATAATATTTTTTAGATTCTATGTATAAGCAATACCATATGATATTTGTCATTCTCTGTGTTATTACTTACTTTACTCAGTATGACAATCTCTAGGTCCATCCATGAACCAGCATCTTTTTTTTTAGTGATTCTACCCTCTTTCTCTCTTTTTGGCTGCTCTGGGTAGGCTTTCTCTACTTGAGGCATGGGCTTTTTCTAGCTGCAGTGTGTGTGGACTTCTCCTGCTGCATTGTGGAGCATGGGCTCTAGAGCATGTGGGCTCAGTAGTTGTGGTGAGCATGCACCTTAGTTGTCCCATGGCATGTGAGATCCCAGTTCCCCAACCAGGGATCAAACCGGTGTGCCCTGCATTGCAAGGCAGATCCCTGGACTACCAGTGAACTCCCCACATGCCCAGCTTTCGTAGCTACTGCCAACAGTTTTGCAAAGTGTCTGTACCAGTTTCTACTACCTCCAATAATGTATGATCATTTCAGTTGCTCCAAATCTGTCACCAACACTTATCATTTCCCATGCTTTCTTTTAGCCACTCTGAAGGGTATGTGGTGAACGGTATTATTTTTACATATAAAGGAAAACCACACATATTTATATAAATGTCAACAGGAAGGTGTGGGAGGAAATAGCTACATGGGTAGAATTTCAAAATAACTCAACAAATGTTAACTGCATTCCTACTACTTTTGGGGCACTGTCCTAGGCTAATTAGGGGTATAGTCCCTCCCCATCAAGAAGATCAGCCAAATGAGAGACATGGAAACAAATAAGTACACTACACTTCAGTAAAGGAACAGTGATTAATTCTGGTTGGAGAGGTCAGGAAAAAGCTGGCTAACTGGCTAACTTCTGCTTCTCTTCAAAGTGGAGCTCTGGCCTCAGCATCTCCAAAAAGGGTTTACGTGCCCTCCTCTGTGTCACTCAAAGCATCTTCCTCTGTGTTACTTTGGTCACAGTGCCAGTCACTCTATACTGTAGTCTATTTATGTCGGTTTCTCTTGCTAGTTCACAAGTTCTTTGAGGTCAGGGATGGGCTTTCATCTTTATATCCTGAACACTAGCGCAATGCCTGACCCAGAATAGGAGCTAGATAGCCATTGAATGAATAAAGGGAAAAGTCTAAAGACCATTCCCCTATTTTCCCATTTCTAGTTCAAAAACTTAGCCAGCCTTCCTGTGAGTTTCACTCTGTAGAATGGAGAATAGAGGTATTAAAACACAGTAAATTATAGCAATCAAAACAATTTTAAACTTTGCACACAAAGAATCAGTTTTCATCTATTAAATTAACCAAGATTTTTATAAAGGGAACAGTGGAGCAGGAAGCCTCATTCTCTATGGACTGAATTATAATTTGAATAATCTCACTGAGGAAAGCGATCAACAGTATGTACAAATTGCCTTAAAATATTCCTGCCTTTAAAACACCTATCCAAATTTTAAACACTATTTTGGGAAGATAATCATAAAACAAAGTTTTATACGCTAGGATATTACCTCTTTAATATTATTGATATTAAATAGGTTGCTTCCCTGGTGGCTCAGATGGTAAAGCATCTGCCTACAATGTGGGAGACCCAGGTTCAATCCCTGGGTCAGGAAGATCTCCTGGAGAAGAAAATGGCAACCCACTCCAGTATTCTTGCATAATATTATTGATATTAAATAACAATGCCAATATTATTGATATTGTGAGGTGTTGGGCTGTGGTGGAAAGGATGCCTTTTGAAGCAGAGAGAACAGTGTTCAAATCCCCTCAGATTCCCACATTACCACCTAAAATCTCTGCCTTCGGACTTTTGTTTTGTAAAGTGAGACTAGTGCTAATTTACTACTAAAGTTGATACAAAGATTATATTATTAAATATTGTTGTTGCTTAGTTGCTCAGTCAAATCCCACTCTTTGTGACCCCATGAACTGTAGCCTGCCAGGCTTCTCTGTCCATGGGATTTCCCAGGCAAGAATACTGGAGTGGGTTGCCATTTCTTGTTCCAGGTAATCTTCCCGATAAGGCTTTCTATAAGGAATAGTTATCATTGACACATCTATTAAAATGATTTCCCTGGTGGTCCAGTGGCTAAGACACAAGTGGCCCAGGTTCTATTCCTGGGCAGGGAACTAGATCCCACATATTGCAACTAAGAGTTTGCATGGTACAACTAAAGATCCTGCATGCTGCAATTAAGAATCAGTACAGTCAAATATTTAAAATTTTTTTCAAAAATATATACTTGTGGAGAAGAAAGTCCTACAGTGGTGTGAAATAAAAATTCTAGAGTTTAATTTTCTGAAACCAACCGTTGTTCAATTGTTGTTCAGTCACTCAGTCATGTCCAACTCTCTGTGACAGCACGGACTGCAGCATGCCAGGCTTCCCTGTCCTTCGCTACCTCCCGGAGTTTGGTCAGTCTCATGTTCATTGAGTTGATGATGCCATTCAGCCATCTCATCGGCTGTTGCCCCCTTCTCCTTCTTCCCTGAATCTTTCCCAGCATCAGGGTCTTTTCCAATGAATCAGCTGTTTGCATAAGGTGGCCAAATTATTGGAACTTCAGCTTTAGCATCAGGCCTTCCAATGACTATTCAGGACTGATTTCCTTTAGGATTGACTGGTTTGATCTCCTTGCTGTCCAAGGGACTCCTAAGAGTCTTATCTAGCACCATAGTTTGAAAACATTAATTCTTTGGTGCTCAGCCTTCTTTAGGATCCAACTCTCACATCCATACTTGACTACTGGAAAACCATAGCTTTGACTATATAAGCCTTTGTCGGCAAAGTGATGTCTCTGCTTTTTAATACACTGTCTAGATTTTTCATAGCTTTTCTTCCAAGGAGCAAGCGTCTTTTAATATCATGGCTGCAGTCACTGTCTGCAGTGATTTTGGAGCCCAAGAAAATAAAATTTATCACTGTTTCCATTTTCCCCCATCTATTTGCCATGGAGTGATGGGACCAGATGCCATGATCTTAGTTTTTTGAATGTGGAGCTTTAAGCCAACTTTTTCACTTT